GCAAGGAATCAAGGAAGCAAAGTGAGAGTGAGAATGTTACCAAGTGCTATAAAAAAACACAGATGCAATAATTCAGAAACATAAATGGGGAGGAGTGGCTTGGGAAGTAAATGGAAAGAAAAATCAGATAGATTATAAAAAAATATAGCACTTGAATTTAAGAGTGCATGTTTCTGCCTTTTTATCTTTAATTTTAATGGCCACTGTGAGTTCCAAAACATCTCTGCAGTTAAAGTCAATGAACAATTTTAGTAAATAGCATACTTTCAACAGAGTATCTAAACTAACATAAATGACATGTTAGGTAGAAACATTCTACCCTTGTAGAGATGATTTTAGTCATCGTCCTATCATTGAAATTTTCTTTTTCTTTATCTATTTATCAAGAGTGATATAGGTAAAATGAAGTAACTTCAATCTTCTATGTCAGTGCAATATTTGACCATTTGTCCGCTATTATGGCAATGGAGCTAGTTTTGTGGAAAGCAAGAGCAACACAGAAAAACTCACTTTAGTGATGTTGACATAAACCCAATTAGAAAAGCATGCAGTTATTACCATGAGCACACAACATAGAAAAACTCAAGAAATTACAGAGAAGGCCATTAACTTTGGACAATTAAATTTCAAAGGAAAATTAATATTTGACTCAGAAGTTACGCAACAACAAATACTCAACAAACAAATTGCCAAGAAGAATACCTACCTATGCCTTAGTTAGCCACATCCATTTCTCATGCAGACAACTCACCAAAACACAAAATGCATAAACCCTCGAAAGCAAGGACACCCTTGAGCAAAAAAAAGGGCAAAAAAGAGAGAAACTCACTTGAAAAATGGCATACAGACCTCTACCAAAATCTATTCTCTTTGCCAGCCTCCGCCACACACCCATGTCACCCACTGAAACCGTAACGTCCCACGACTGCACCATAATTCCTTAGTTGCCGTCGCAGATCTTCCTTCTCTCCTCCGATACACAATTTTCCTCCCCTTTTGTCACCTATTTCCTCTTCCCTGCTCTCCCTTGCTTTTCCTATCCCCACAGCTTGCCGTCCCTCCCCATCCCATCGCGTCGAATTCTTGCAAAAAAATACGGGGAACCAAGTAAATTTTCGAAGTGGCAGTGAACAACAGAGAGCTAACGTTCGGTTGAGGAATAGGCAAGAAACAGGGCATGAAAAGTCTAGGAACAGTGTACGAAGCTTCAAGATGATGTTGAAATCCGTAAAATAGATCAGTGAACAGTTTAAAAGGGAGGGATTTTTTCGTCACTAAGCCAACAGACGCCGTTACTTTCTCATTAATCACGGTTGAAATGACCGGAAGGACGATGAATACTTCAAGGGATGAAGGGCAGAAACGGTATAACGGGAGTGGGGCCCAGTGAATAGGCAAGCAACAGGTGAATCCTTTTGTTAATCTGCTTGAAAAGTCAGCTTTGCCCATACAAAGGGAACTGGTAAAAGGGCAAAAATGATAGAAAAAGGCTGAAAGCTGAGCCCAAAATGGGCGAACGGCTTAGCCACAGTTTTTGACCTTTGGAAAAGTGCGGAAAATGACATAAAACCCAGTGTAAGTGGACACTGTTTAAGGGCTTTTTTGGGAGTTGACAGGACTGGGCTTTTATATTTGGTTTAGTACCCATTTTGGTCCCTAAACTTTTATTTTTGAACTTAGATCATCCTTTAACTTTAAAAAACACTCAAATCATCCTTAAACTTTATTTTTCCATAACCCAAATGGTCCTACCGTCAACGGAACTGCATATTTGGGCATGTTAAGTCTCCACTAATTACCTCTTTTAATTTTCACAAGCTTTTGTGAAAAAAACACCATACCCAATTGATGACATGGCAACAATTCACATGGACCTCATGTGCGATCTGGTGACGATCTCTACGGATGTCACCTATGATTGCATGAACATAGAGAAATGGTTCTTCACTTTCAAGAAGATCACTTGTCCCGCCACCATGCAATTTGTCCATAGTTTCCACCTCACTCCCAATCACACCCTCAAGTGACTCATCTTCTCCTGGCAGAACACTTAATCTTCCTCATCTCCTCCTTCGCCTCTATCTCTCTTTGCCAAGCACAACGGGTTGGTCTCACTGCTCAGCACAGTTGAATCCTCGCCTTTTAAGGTCATCGCCTTAAAAAAGCTCCAAGCTATTGTTGAAATTGGGCACAAGACTAAATCGGATTTTATCCGATCTAGTGGCTTCGAAATTCTTGCTCAAATACTCGTTTAGATTCTAGTCAACGTTTTCGATTTCGTTGCGTTCCGAGCGTGTGAAAAGGCACTCAGCGTTCTACATAAGCTTTCGTTATCGAAAGATCAAAACAGTACATTCAAAATTTTGTTTAAAATAGAGTGCGTGAAATCAATGGCGATTATCCTTCAAAGAGGAAGCGCCGAAGCGAGGCTCTATACATTAACGATTTTCAAGAAAATGGGGAAGACTACTTCCGGTTACAATAGGAATTTCTTGCTTTAAGATCAAGGCATAGATTTCTTCAAATCTCTGTTAGAGTTGGTTTTCGACGAGATCTGCAGCAAGGTAAGCTCATGCTGTTTCGGCAGCTTCGCAGTCCAACACTGTTGAAGTCCTCAGCTGCTTCTACACCTGAAAATCCCGAGGTTGTTTCCTTGGGGAAAACACTCCGACGCTCAAGTCAGCAATACTCAGTATTCTAGAGAGAGATGCTCTCAAGGAGTAATTGCAGAGAGAGAAGCGTAGAGATTAATTACCTTCATCGAAGGTAGTTGGGGGTATTTATAGCCCCTTGGTGCTGACATACACCTGCACGTGTAAGCCTCCCCTTGACCCGCGTGACGCTGGTCACAAGGGTGTGCTTGTACTGATGCTCCTTCAGCTTGGGCTAATGGGTAGTAACCTAGGCCCGTTATGCACAGCCCTATTTGGGTGTTGGGCCTATTCCAAATTACTCCCCCCCCCGGTGTTCGGTTGACGAACTGGGATGGAAGTGACCGTGGGTCAACATTCTAGCTGGTGACTATGACGGGCAGCTTTAACAGCTTACGGCCGACCTTGGCGATGGCCGAGCTGAGAGTCTAAAAGCGTGGAGGCGAGCTGATATGTGATTCGCAACAGACGAGCTCGCACAGGGACTAGCCATGTATATAACCCTCTTTCAGCTCGTCCATGTGGCGACCTGACCTTTGGGTACTACCGAAGTGCGACCAGGTGACGCTCAGTTAGCTATGATCACGAGGTGAGGCGAGGCGACCCCACATGCAGTGCGACTTGAGGTTTTTGACCACCACTTTATCAGCTCGCACGAGTAGTGCTGTCAAATAGGGCAACCCCAGGCACCCATTGATTTATGCAAAGGTTTGTGGCTTGGTGTGAGTTGCAATCCGTGTAACGACCTGACAAATGTGGTTGTTGTCACGATATGTGACGAGCTGAATCTAGGGGGATTTTAGTAAGCGATCTACACTTGTGAACGAATTGGCACGGTTGGGCTGATCTGGCGGATACGTCATCTTTGTAACGACCTGGTAAGTGTGCTTGCAATGGCGAGCTAATGTGACAGTATAGGGTACACATCAGCAGTTACGATCTGAATCTTGGGATTTTTTGAGTCAAGCAAATCTCTGAGGGGATACGATTGAACTTCCCATATCTCTCTGCCTTCCCCGTCATAAATGCTGGCTCAGCATTTGAGGGACGTGACAGCTAAAGCCGGCGCACGTTATGCAGGAGGGGCGTTAAGCGCCTGCCACGTGTGGGACGCTAGTTGGCGCGTCAGAAACATGCGTACGGCATTTAACACTGCCATATCCTTCTCTGCGTAACTGTCTCCTTTTCCATTTTCATTTCTGTGTTTGCTTGCACTTTCCAAAATTCTCTGAAGCGAAACGCTCCAGCTTGAAGAATCAGTACGCCGAATCAACTTCACATCATTTTCAAGTAAAATGGTTTCATTAAGAGAACTTACAGAGCAACAAGGTAACCAGGGCAGAGAGGGAGAAGAGGAAGGGGTTTTGTCAGTGGAGCCTATCACGATGATAGTGCCGCCTGAGTTGCAGGACTCGCTGGAAACGATGGCACCTGAGAGAAGCGCTAGTTCAAGCGCTGAGGATGATGGTGGCGACCATCCTACTGCGTCGTCTAGCAGCTCGTCTACTAAAGAGACACTCAACCATGAAGAAGGGATGAGGGATGTGGTGAGCAGTGTCTCAGATCGGCTGGTGGTTGGGGAATGGGAAGGCATGACAATCCCGGGCAGGTTGAGTAACCTACGAAAAGCACCGAAGGACCTGCCCGCTGGATTCAGGTTCAAGGCTGCACTTCATCACGAAGTAGCAGATTGTGCGCCCTCCATAAGTGGGTATAAACGATTGGAGGAGATGGTGAGGGCGTACCACATCCCCAAGACCATATTGCTGCGGACTGGCGGGTAGAACGAAAGGGCGTGCACAGTGTCGCAAACGGGCTGGATCCCCGTATACGTGGACCACTTTGACGCCGACCTGCGGTTTCCCCTGCCCGGCCTGATATTCGATCTGCTCGCGGACTACGAGCTGGCGCTAACGCAGCTAACGCCCAATAGCATAAGGTTCATCATAGGCTTCATGCTGTTGTGTGCGAGATTAGAGGTACTAGCTAAAGCGATAGTGTTCAGGTCGCTATTCCAGTGCCGGTTGTGTCCGAACTCAAGAGGAGCGAAGTGGTACTACCTCTCTGGGAGGGATAAGAGCCAGCTCTTCAAAAATGTGAGGAACAAGGTGGCGAGGTGGAAGAGACAGTTTATTTTTGTTCGCGACACACGAGCAGAAAGGATAAGCAACGACCTCGTTGCTCGGCTGTCTGAGTGGCGCACCCCCAACGCTCATATCAACTATCCTCAGCTACTGCCTCGGGATGTCGATCTGAAGAACCAGCTGCTTGAGTATGCGCAGAGGGAGGGTCTAATAGATCTAGAAGCCCTGGTTACCTCGGAGCATCTCGCCGTGTTCGGGTTTGTCGATGTGACAAACCTGTTCAGCGAAGGTATATTTTTATCATATATCATGGATTCTAGCCGAGCTGAGGCTTATGTATTTGTTTGTGCAGGCGAAATGAGCAGCATCTTGGAACGCCAGCGTCAACAAGCCCAGAGTTTGCGAGGCCGTGGGGCGAGCAGCACCTCGCAGAGGCAAACGCGGTTCGACGAGCGGCCGCCTGCAGCGCCTCAATCACGCAGCTCATCCCATCGAGGGTCCAGCTCGGCTTCTAGGCCGCAGGCTGAGCATAGGGTTGAGGCGGCAGCTCCCAGTGCCCGTAGGCGTGCGCACGAGGAGACGGAGAGCGAGGAAGATGAGGTCCCCCTTGCTCGGCGCAAAATAAGCGGGGGGACTCAGCCCGCGCAGGCGGCCCGTCCCACAACCGTGCGTTCACCCACTCGACCGCCAGCGACTGCGCGGGCAGCAGTAAAGCCCGCCTCTGCCTCGGCTTCAACATCGGGCCCCAGGATCGCATATCCTGAGGGCTTCACCTATGTGCGGGCGGAGTGTCAGCCCGCCATGGTGCAAGCCATGCACAACTTTGTGCCCCAGTCGGATAGTCGGCGGGCTAAGGCTTTTGTGCAGCAGCATGGCGGCCAGGTCGCCATGATCAAATTGATGGATGTAAGTATTTGCTCGTACTTGCTTACGTGTTTTATTTTTCCTTACTAGGTACTCAGTATTGTTGCTGTTTGGCAGGCATTCAGCTACGCTGTAGCGCTTTACGAGAGCGAGCAGGCAGCTCGTACGCAGAACAGCGAGTTCGGTTCAAAATGCAAACAACTGGTTGCTGAGAAGGCTAGCCTTGTGGACAATGTGAATCGTCTGCAAGGCTCAGAAATGGCGAACCAGGCAGCGGCTGCAGAGAGCCGAGCAGATGAGCTCGCCACTAGAAACAACGAGCTCAAGAAGGAGTTGGAGCGCGCCCGTGTTGAGAAAGAGAGCGGGATCCAGGCAGCTAAGGAGGAAGCCGCCCGGGTTGAAGAATGGGCCAAGAAGGCTGAGGCGGACAGGGACCTTGCTCAGCACGAGCTGAGCTCCCTTAGGCATCAGGTCGCCGAAGCCGATCGGAACCTTACTGCTGCCGGGGAGGCGCTGAACGAGCTGAAGACTTCCCATGCACGCGCTGTCGGTATCGCCCGAGCTCAAGGCGTGGAATGGTTGGTGGGTTCGGCTGCGTTTCAGGACGCCGTGGCGGTGGCGTCTGCAAATGTAACCACGGAAATCTACAACGAGATTCGTGGGAAGGTGCTACGACATCGCCCGGACTTCTCGATTGGCGAGCTGGCTTTCTTTGATGGGG